AATATAAACCATATGATTTCTCAGCAAATACTGTAGGGTTTCGTGGATCTCAATAAAATTCAACTTGTTTTATAAAGGACATCGAGGATGTTACACACTTCGAAAAAATAACATATTAAAGTTCGTGTACCCGCAAAACAGGATTATTATAACTGACTGTTATTAATTTAATTTTACGTTAGTGTCACAATAATAGTATTTTAGATTTACTGATAGTTTCTTTTTGAATATGCCAGTACTTCTCGTAATAGTAAAATAATTTAGTAATGCTAGTTAGTTAGAAATCAATGCAATTATGCATTTTTGTTCAATAATCGATTTCTACATGGTATTTTTATCATATAAAGTAAAAGTAAAAAAGTAACATTCAATTTCAAAACTGATATAGTCATTGTGTCGAAAGATCAAACTTTTGATCAGTGGTTTGCTTGAGTCATATGTGAAAATATGATAATTTATTCGTATAATATTTATTGTGTTATAATTGTTTCTAAATTTATGATAATTTATTTTTATGCATAAAGGTCGTAATCCTCCACCAATTTGTGTACGAGTCCCGAGACTGCAATTCATCCAGTTGTGCACAAAATTCACAAATGTGTACTTTAAGGGAAGAAATCTTCATTTATGTGCTGAAATGAATGCTGATTGGGAAGGCTTTGATCTCTTCCATCGATCGTTTGACTGCGTTATGATAGGTATTGTTTTATTTCATTATGCTTTTTCTTACATATTACGTTGAACGTTTTATCGCATAGTATATAAATTATTTTATCCAGTCAATAAAATATGTATCAAATACTATGGCGGTTTGTAAGATTACAAATGTTTTTTTTTATAAAATACTTTCTAAAATCTTTTAATTGCATTTATTTAAAGTAAATGTAAATATAGAACTATCAATCAATATAAAATATGTCATCTATTTCAACTAAATCATTGAATTCATGAAGCTAAATAATAATTATAGTAGATTGTTACATATCGAAGATTTGATATTAATAGAATTAATTAAAAACGAAAGAAGGTTAATGTAACTAAGCATTTAGTTTTATTATTTTACAGTAAAATTTATATACAATCAATATGATAAAGTTTCAATGCTATTATTCACGAACTAAATATTAAATATTAATTAAAATCGTATTTTAAGTCGAGTTTTAATAAAATTATTAATACTTTATTACTATAGTAAAAGTATAAATACTATATTATTTTTATCAATATTAGATGTTTAAAAAAAAATTTTTTTTTATAAAGCTTTTTTTCAGCTTTCATTGCTTTTAATATTCAACGCATATCTGCATTCTTAAACACTTTCAAAAAGCTACTTATACAAAATGTGATGATTTTTCACTGCGACGCGAATATTTTTTATGCACATGTTGTTACTTTGGGGCCAAATTAAATTTTTTAACAATAATTCTTAATTGTCTTGTCTCTAATTTTAGTTACGCCTGATATTACGGTAAATTTCAGTTATAGTAATTATTATATATACAATAAAAAAGTAAAAAAAGCCTCAATTTTTCTAAAAATGAAATTATTTGAATTCGTATTTCTGCACTTTAATTTCTATTATAAAATTATTATTTTATCACCTGAAAGTAAATTGATTCAAATATAAATATATTTTGCAAACAAAAAATTAAGAACTAAGGAAAGATTTTTTGTCTTATTTTTAAATGCTGTAATAGATCATGAAGACCTCGGGCGTTCTACCTAATTTTATATTCTATATTATGTATAGATATACATATACATATATATATATATATATATATATATATATAATTTGAATAAAGTATCTATCTATCTATATATATATATATATATATATATATATATATATATATATATTATTTGCTTGTGTTTGTATTATTTTTAACTTTCCGTGGGGTAAGTTATAGTAATCAACCGATTTGAATTCTTTAAAAAAAACATTCGATTGCTGTTGATGAGGAGACGTGCTGATTAGTTTTTGGCATAGTTGGCTGATTAGTTTTTGGCAATAAGTGCCACAAACGGTAACTCTGTTTTTAAGATAACGGAGTGCCCGATTTTGATAATTCAAAAAACATTTTACTTGTATTGGCAAGATGAACAACTGATTAAATTTTCATCAAGGCAGGTCTAGCGGTTTCGGAGATCTAGTGGAAAAAGTAAAAAAACATGCCATTTGACGTTCAAAAATGATCATTAGATATAAGCACATGAAATTATCAGATATTTTATATAGATTTAAACAATAAGTATATATTTTGTTTACATTCCTAATGGGTTTTCCGTACCAATGTTTATCCGTTAGACGGCGACGCGACGCTTACGCGCTTCGATATTTCGTCTCTATGCAGTTAAAGCAGTACAATTGTTTGGAAAAAAAGTTTAGAACTTCCAAAATATTTCAAAATAAAGAAAACATTTTTTTTTTGAAAATTTATAGTTTCTCAAAGATTTTTCAAAAATGTAAATCTTTTAAAAAAAAATTATTTTTGGTACGGTAAGTTTCAGCAATTTGCCTTAAGGCACGATGCCATGCGCCCCACTAGTTATTATATTGAATTGTAATTAATAATTTATCTTACTATACCAAATTCCATTTCTTGTAGGTGATAATGGATTCCATGTTCTTAAACCCGAAGACGGCGGTGTGCCACCAGGATCGTCGCAGGGTCCTGATTCCGAAATTGATCAAGGGGATGATGAAGATGAAGAGTATGACGAAAATTTAGTTAGAAACTATTTTGCGATGTCCAGTTGGCTCAGATAATGATTACCTTAACAAATTTAACTGGAGTTTATTTGAAATCTGCAAAAATAGAATCGCTATCGATCGGATCGGATGTAAAAGGAGCATTCTGAATCATCACCATATTTATTTAACGATTGGTTTATAATTGAAGGTAATTTACTTATTTTTTATACAAATTATGCAGAACATGTTTCGACCAAGCCGTAGTCTATAGTTCTAAATTATCTCTCTACTATCTTAAATTTTAAGTAGAGTCAGAAACCTGCAACCATATTTCGTACGAAAATTACTTTTCCAACTAAATAATAATACGAAGACTTTTGTATGTGAGTTGAGATACAACCCATAGAGTGTTATGAACACATGCAGTTAATAGAAGATAGATGGAATCAGATGTAGGTTTTAAATTTTTTTTTTATATACTCTATTGGAACACGAGTTGCAAGTCTATAATTTGGGATAAGAAACATTTTTATTTACATACTTATTTAGTATGCTGAGAAATTTAAAATATTAGTATAATATTAAGATTGGCAATTAATTCATGCGCACACCTCTTTAAATCATTATTATAATATCAAAAACAAAATAATTTTAGTTTTTATTTTGATGTTAGCAATAAAGAAGAAAAAGAATGGTAATAGCACCAAAGGTCGTTCCAACCAATCTCCGTATATTCGATGTTTTTCATCGAAGACACACTAATATTACAATATAAAATTTAATTAAATTTTATAATATCAAATATTTATATTTAATTGTATTTATTATATGTAAATTTATTGTACTTGTTTTTACCATATTGCGTTTAACGTAGTAAATTATTGTGAGTTTATTATACTTAACTTTGTATTTATATATTTATTAATTTAAGGCATGATTATTATATGATGTGATTACTGCTTAATTATTAGATAGTTGAGATTAGTAAAACAAAATAATAGAGAGTTATAAAATATCAGAAATTTGATGAAATTATATTTTGATCACAAAATCATTTATTCAATTAATTTTTTAAATTGGAAAATCCAATATTATGTAAGAAAATATACAGAGTCCATGAACATGATAAATATATATTTTATATTTATTTAACGGCTTTATGTTTATTCAAGTTTATAAGAATTACGATGGTAAAAATAATTAAGCCATAAATTTTCTTTCATAAATTTCATTTACGAGGTGTGTTCAAAAAGTACCCGGAATTACTAATAATTAAATTTCGCGGGTCTGGAGTGTCTGATTGTCAAAATTTTTTTTTTATTGTGTTGGTATACATGCCCCTAAAGTATGATGAAATTTTCAGCTATATTCACTGTTTACTTTGTCTGTGGTAGTCGCTAAGGTTCGACGTGTTTTTCTGAGCTCGGCGATTTTTACAATGGAAGAATTGAAAAGTCAAAGAATTTGTATTAAATTTTGCGTAAAAAATGAAATAAAGTGTTGCAAAGTGCAAAAATTCACCAGATATGGCTCCGTGTGACTTTTTCCTATTCCCAAAGTTGAAGAGACCCATGAAAGGACAGCGGTTTTCCTCGATTGAAGAAAATCGCTGAGAGTGCTCAAGGATATATCAAAAAGTGAATATCAAGGGTGCTTCGAAAATTGGAAAAAACGCTGGCATAAGTGTATTATATCTGGGGGGGGACTACTTTGAAGGGGACCACATTAATGTAGACGAATAAATAAATATTTTTTTGAAAAAACGAAAATTCCGGGTACTTTTTGAACAGACCTCGTATAAACAAAATCATAGATTGATATTTTTATTGAATTTTATTTGATGTATCGTGTTTCGTGCATTGTATTTAAAACTTTCAAGAAAAGATTTCTTCAGTGTTTGACATTTGCACAGCATTATAAGAATGGAACTTTCCAATACTCATCTTTTAATCGTAATTATTCATATCAGTTTCCTAACTGTTTCATAACTAATCCGTAAAATATAGAAATATATTACTTTCATAAATAAAACTCCAAAACAATTATAAACACAGAGACTTTTATTACGCCATTCAAACATTCAATACTTAAATTATATATGTACACAATAAATTAATTTTAAAAATATGATCAAAATGGCTCAGTTGTGTTAGGTCTATTACAATAAATAAATAAATAAATAAATATTATTAACATATAAGGATCAAATGATGCTTTCAGAAATAATTTAAAAAGAAAACTCTTACAACTAGTAGGTATAAAATTTTAAATTATATATAGAAAAGCTACCTATTATTAAATAATATTACCACCGCATCATTTTATTGTTTCTTCGTCTGAAGCCCAAAGTTTCTGTTATTGCGCCTAATCCGAATGTATCATCTTTCTCTCCTTTCTTCTTTTTTGGTTTTGTTGTCGTATTGCTAACTTCGGATGCAGGTTTTTTGCCCGGTTTTGTGGCCTGAACTTCGTCATCGTCTTCATCGCTATCGTCATCATCGTCGTCATCGTCGTCATCATCGTCGCTGTTGTCATCATCATCGTCATCCTCATCTTTTTCTCCTTTCTTTGTATTATCTTCTACTTCATCACTTTCGTCGCTGTCGTCATCTTCATCCTTTTCAGTGCTTTCTTTATCATCGTCGTCATCATCATCGTCGTCGTCGTCATCATCGTCATCTTCTCCACCAATAAGCCCGCCTATAGATTCTATCGATTCTACTATTCCGTCCAGTCCGGAAGAAGAAGCTGGCTTTTTAGGAGGAGCTACAATGACTTCATTTGGATTAGATATTACTTCAACTTTGTTTGTTTCGACAGTAGCCAGTTCTTCGGCTGGAGTTGCTTGCGCAGACGTATCTTCAACAGCTTTTACTGGTTCTTGAGCTTTTACAGGTTCGATAGTGTCGTCTTCAGAACCGACGCTAATATAGCCGTCATCCTCATCATCAGAATCATTGTTCTCTGCTTGCATAGGTTGTTCAGGTGCTGCACTTGTATCTTGAACTGAAGTTTGTTCGGCAACTATTGAATCTTGAACAGCTTGTGCTTCGTGATTATCTATCGCTGGCTCAGCGGCTGTTTCTATTATCGGATTTCGCGTTTCTTCTAACTTTAAATCGTCGAAGCCTAACTGGGTATTTTGTAAAACTTCCAACGAAGGTTGTATTTCATTTTGAATAGGATTATGCGCGAATTCTAGACTAGGAGTATTTAACAGTTGATTTCTAATAGTTGTGATAGAAATGTTGTCTGTAAATGGAATTTGTGTAGTTGTGGTTCGTCTTAGGCCGGTTGAAGTTGGTTTTTTGACAATGTATTGTGGTACATTATTCACAATTACTTTGTGGTACACAGCAGGTTCTGTTGTAGTCGCGATTTTGTAGGACTGTGTCGAAAATGTATGTTTAATTGGTTTAGCAGCTGTTGTCGATGATGCTGCTACAGAAACTTTCTTTCTTAGGGGTTTGCGAATGATTTTAGTTGTAGTTGTCGTAGGAGCACGGGTAGGCGCAACGGCGGCTGCTTTTTTCCTGTGGATTTTTTTCTTGTTTGAGGTGCTGCCTCCAAACAGTCCACCTAGAAAATCATCGCTCAAAAGACTAAATCCTGTATAATCTGCACTTTCCACCTCGTTATCTGCTGATTCTTCTTCTTCGTCGTCGTCATCGTCATCATCACCTAATAGTTAATAAACTCAATAATTATATTGATTAAACTTCTGTGATATATAAAACTTACGGATATTTTATGTAAAACAACGTTATTAGCTAGTTGAATGTTTTATATATATATATATATATATATATATATATATTAGGGTGGTCCTTAAAATGGTTATTTTCGAATTTCCTTGCTCCCAGGGGCTCAAATAGTTCCAAATAGATAAAAAACAATTCTCTGAAAGTTTTAGCTCTTAATATTAACGTTTAGATAGAGCGCAATTCAATCAAAGTTTTGTATGGAAATAGCATGGAAAATTTTTCAAAAATTTTAAAAATGTTTTTTAGATGTAATTTAGCGAACAAATGAATGAATGAAACTCATTCATTTGTCGCTAAGTTATAACTAAAACATTTTTTTTTTAAATTTCAAAATTTTTTCTATGCTCTTTCCATACAAACTTTGATTAAATTGCGCTCTATCTAAACGTTAATATTAAAGCTAAAACTTTCAGAAAATTGTTTTTTATCAATTTGGAACCATTTGAGCCCCTGGGAGCAAGGAAATTCAAAAATGACCATTTTAAGGACCACCCTATATATATATATATATATATATATATATATATATATATAGTAGCAAAAATAGTAAATCTACAAAGGTTTACGAAAATATCTCATACTTTTAGTACTATAATATTTAGTCTACAATAAAAGAAGTTTAAAATAACTAATGTAATATACAATGCAAAAATAACGTACTAATGATGACAATTAACTATCACATTTTTTTGTTAATCAAATACTCTTTTTACCTAGACCAAAGTCAACAATATCATCGTCATCATCATCGTCATCGTCATCGTCATCGCCTCCTAATCCTAATCCGAAATCATCATCGTCGTCATCATCATCATCATCGTCATCGTCATCTTCAGGCGCTGCTTCCTGACGTACAGGTAAAGGCTCAGCAGGTGCAAGGTCAAGACCTATTTTTAATGTAAAATCGTAATAAAATATCGTAAACATTTTAAGTCTAATTATTAATTATGCATATTTATCAAATTTATATTGAATTGATGAACAAAGATAGTAAAACAATTATAGCTTAATAAATTGTTTGTTCCTAGACAGTTTATTTCAACACGAGAAGAACGAAATTTTAAATGTTTTTTTACTTAATTTCTTGATGTCATTCCCGAATGTTGGGTTCCTTTATTATTTTAAATCTGAATAAATTAGAATATATCTATTCATATGTTTATAATATCTAGTTTTGAGTAGAGATTATAATTATAAGTTACTGAGATGTGTTTTTAGGATAACACAAATATTGCTTATGAAGCAATTATTTTATCATTCAAAAGTACCATAATCATATTTCATAACCAATAGTTTGATATGATACGAATTCTTTTTAATTTATTTTCTATTAATATTATTATATAACGGAGAGGAACGATGAAAGTTTAAAGATTTACTGATAGGTTGATATAAATTTCGTATAACATTTGTTATATTATTTTGTTACGATAAAATGACAATATATTTATTATTCACACAACGAGAAGAAGATCTTGAAAAAAATTGACTTTGATTATAAGACCATTATTTAATTTAATGATAATTATTTTTTTTATTAGTAAATATTATTATATTGTTATATTTAATATTATTTTTTAGATAATGTAAATAGTTCATTATTTTGAATATTTATTGGTTCATATATATATATACCTTTCTATTTATGTTTTAGTTTTTTTTATTTCCATTTCATTACCATATAGATGATGACAATGGATATACTTTTCTTTGTTTACTAACTATAAATAACACTATTTTATTTTATATGTAACAAAACTTCTACTTAAATAAGAAGTTTTTAATATTCTTATATGCAATTCTGTTAGAGTTTAGAGTGCTATTAACGATATTCGTTTTTTGTTTCAGATAAATTGTTTTCTCATGTACATTACATTTCACTTACCCTTGGGTCCGAATCTGAAACAAGATACGCGTACTGCAGCCTCCAGCTCATCAGAAGATTGGAGTTCAAGACCCAAACATGCTTTGAAGTTTTCTTCAGCGCGACTTATGCCGTAGACACGGCCGCAGAATTTGGAGAACCCACCAGGTAAGGGCATGCATACAGGTCTTGGTCTGCGCCCTAATCAAATGTTATGCTATTATCTTCGTAACTTTAATAATACATTATATATATATATATATATATATATATATATATATATATAATATATATGATCAATTTCTTGGAAGGCGTAACATCAAGTAAAAAATATAAATAAGTAAAGATTTTTTAAAACATCTTTATTTTTCCATACGCTTCGACGTAAAATTCTACGTCATCGTCAGTGGTTCTACAATTTTGAAAAAACAGAAAGTAACGTTAAAAACTAAGTATTTTTTTTTATTTTTACTTATGTTTAGTATTTAACGTTACTTTCTGTTTTTTCAAAATTGTAGTACCACTGACGATAACGTAGAATTTTACGTCGATACGTATGGAAAAATAAAGATGTTATAAAAAATCTTTACTTATTTATATTTTTTACTTGATGTTACGCCCTCCAAGAAATTAATCATACATTTCAAGATCAAATTTAAACACTTTTAACATATATATATATATATATATATATATATATATATATATATATATATATATCTTATATATAAAATTCTTCTGTAACAATGTAAGTTTCATAATCCCTCCTAAACTATAATTCGGATTTTCATGAATCTTCCTGAAGTTTGTTCGGGAAATTTTCTAGAATGTTTTGATTCATAGAAATATAGTTAGATTGTAGAAATAAATGGAAAAAATTACAAAAAACCGCTTATCATTGTTTGCCCTTGAAAATATTTGAAGCTTAGTTTGACATTAAAAACAATTGAAGACTGTCATTTGCCAAACATTTCTGTTCACTTATAGGCTAAGGCAATATTAAAATATAATAAATTCATGATTATGATTAAGGAAAATGTAATGTCTACATTATTAATGCCGAAAAGCAGCTGAGATGTGCCAAATATTAAATTAATATAAGATGCAAATAATATAACATATGCGTTTGACAGTATGCGCATGCGTCTGACGCGCACCGCGAATCGTGTTCTCAACGTACACGTGCTTTTGCTTGCAATAATTTTGTTTGCGCACTTTGCGAACAGATTCGCCGCACGAATTCGTGCGAAGGAGACTCAAAAAATTCAATTTGCAGTCGTTTTGCCTCACTATACTAAGTCACAATACAAAAAAAATTATTTAGAAGTTTCATTGTGTCAAAAATTCATATTATTGTCATTGGGTACGGAATATTTACTCAATGGAGCGCTTTCGGTCTGAACTTTTTTTACTGTTTTCCATTTCGTTTGGAATTTTGGAACTAGGTTCATCTTGCTCTTCAGAAGTGAAAACAATTTAGACTCCTTAACCACTTCCCGGGTGGATGAGATTTCTTTTCAGTGGTGTAATTTTACTTTTTTCAAAATAACGTTTGGTATCGATAAAAGAACTAATTATAAGAGAAAAATGTTTAATAATGTTTTTTAAAAAAGCAAATACTTTTCAAGTTACTGGCTACTGAAAATTTGTTTCTTTTTTGCGTTTTTCATCATTTTTTGCTAATATCTTCAAAAATATACATTTTAACGAAAATCATGTAATGAACAAAATTATATCAATTAAAATCTTAATAAATCGCTATTTTATAGTGTTTTAGGAACATTATTAGGCTAGATATGAAAATGGGTTTTTATAGTGCTCAAAATAAGCTTCAAAATGAGTACTTCTGCGAGTAAAATGAGTAAACTATCATGCAAATAAAAGACGCATATAATGGTTTTCATTTAAATAAAATAGTTTTTCAGTGTCATTTCCACCAAATTTAAAAATAATCGTATTCCATCTAGAATTAACTTGGTTTAAGAGATCTTGATGGATTCTAGAAAATACCACAACTTTAGTACAAACGATTTTAAAAAAAACTCATGATTTCATAAAAAAAATCATTAAAAAAAACATCCAATTTCTCATTATAATATCTCTGAAAGAATACGTATAAAAGTATATATATATGAAAATTCGAGGTATTTTTCTGACTAATTATTGTTGTTTATTATTTTTCCATTATACAAATATTGATAGAGGTATTAATTAAGGAGTGCGCGGCTGTCCAACTAGAAGTCTTTCGAGCCCTTTAACCCTTCGCCGTTTCACAATAAGAGAAGTTACGGTAAAATTTATGATAAAAAAAGTTGTAGCTCATTTAATCACCTTTAAAATAGTGTATTACAAGTTCTGATAAAATCAGAATTAAAAGAGTAATAATCCAATTAATGCGTTGGATGGTGACGGAGTGCAAATTGTTTTCACTTCTGAACTTAAGATAAAGATTAGCCTATTTCCAAAATATCAAGTAAATTGGAGCACATTAAAAAAATTCACAGAGCACGAATATTAAAAAATGTTCAATAAAATTGTATATTAAAAATTATACACTGCGATTTATAGAACAAAATTTCCAATAGCTCAATTTATTTTATTGCATTTAAGGGTTATATAGTATTTTTAGTCATACCTGTAGATGTGGATGTATAAATGAATGATTTTTTGTTTATTCACGACTAAAACATCGATTTTCCAAATTTATCACACTAAAAATGATCGTCTGCCTTTGTGATTTATGTCACAGCTTAAGATACACGTGTTGAAAATTGAAATCTTTTAAAAAGTACAACAAATTCAGAAAGAATTACTATATAGCATTCGCGGCAAAGGTGCAATACCACCTTTTATTTTTCTACCCAAAATAATTGCTTCAATAATGTTGCCTATAATTTTTATAATATTGTACCATATTTTAACTGGCTTTTAGTAATTTTAATATCTAAATTACATTTTTTTCACTAATAAATCAATATACATTATTGCTTAAGTTTATATTTGAAGTGAATTAATTTGTCAAATCCTGTTCACATGTGCTCTATTCAACTCACGATCAACAAAGTTATGCTATATAGTATTATGCCGCATATATATTCTATAAATCGCAGTGTATAATTTTTAATATACAATTTTATTGAACATTTTTTAATATTTGTTAAATGAATAATTAAAGTGTTAACTGTGGGAATTGAGAAGAATCATTTTATTTGAAACAGTTCTACATTCAACATCACTCATATATTGGTGTAAATAGTAATTAAAAAAACAGTAATTATTATTTTTAACTAAGCAGTAAATATTAGTATAAAATATTGTAAAATTGTAGACGTGGGTACAGAACAACGTCTGTCGGGTCAGCTAGTATATATATATATATATATATATATATATATCTCATTCGAATTGTATTGATTTTGTTTTTAATTATGTGTTATTTAAAATCAAGAACTGATGTCGCCACTAAATAATTAATATTCTTTAAGCAAAATCGGTAATAGTTTTTCGTAAAGCAAACGATATTATTCCGTTCAAGTACATGTCAATTGTGCAATAGATTATTATCATATAATTTAAAAATGCCTTAATATCTTCTGGAGCAGTTAGTATGATTAGTAAAATTATAATTGAAAATTACTCTCATTAATACGTCCTTTTATTTTGCATGTCATTTTCAATACATTGGTATTGAAAATAAATATAATTTTATAGATATAAATAATTAGATAAATTATGATAGTCACTTGTATGAGCTTGAGCATAAGCTCTAATTAATGAGATCTGATAAATGTCAAATAAACGATGTAGAAAAAACTAATAATTAAACATGTCCACAAAATGAAAAAAGTTGTCTGTATTGTGGATGTGCAACGTATGTTTTCCAAAGCACTTTCTAACGCTGAAAACGACTATAAGGTCGAAATGAGGGGTTTAACTGCAAAAATTGAAAAAAAAAATAGAAAAAAAGACAAAACCTACGATCTACTAATTCTTCTGCCTGGTAAGCAAAATCTTATAATTTTTGCCATTTTCTCTTGTAATTCTTCTGTCTGATAAGCAAAATTTTATAATTTTTGACATTTTCTCTTAAGCCTTGCCCTGCCCCTTTTATCTTAAATGACTATTGAGTTTTACTTAAATGATCTATTAAGTTTCTTAGGCATACATATTTTCAGATATTCAATTGCAAATATATTTTGAAGACATTGACATGAAGACCCAGGGGCAATGGGGACTGCTCAATTTCAAAAAAATAACTCAATAAATAATTTAAATGAAACTCAATAGTCATTTAAGGTAAAAAGGCTCGTGACATGACAAAGTATAAGATATTAATCATCATGCAAAAGAATTACTAGATCGCAGATATTGTCTTTTTTTTTCTTCGTTTTTTGTAGTTTGACCCCAATTTTGGCTTTATATTCGTGTTCAGGAGTAAAAACTACATTGGAAAACATGTCGCTGGAAAACAAGTCAACTCAATAATTACTTCATAAATTTCGAAATTCAAACCATTAGTGTAATTTAGATAGGAGTCAATAAACCACGTAATATAAATGGGTAACATGCCTTCTTATGAAACAAAATATCTTTATCATTGTATAACAAAACTCAATTAGCTAATGTATTTCAAAATGAATATTATTAATATGACGTTGATAATGATTTGCAACAGAAATGCAAGAACCACCTCTTTTCAAGGAGACTCATTTTGTGTGAATTCACATTTGTATAGAAATATCACATATGGTTCCACTATTTTCAGATATGGTAACTGAGCAAATATGAATCTGCATTAACATGCAATAATAATTTACGCAAACTAGGACCAAATCCAAATATTTCTAAGTATGATTCATCGTATAAAATTATTTTGATATGTATAAAATTGGGTTGGGCGACGTATTCTAAATCGGAATAATAAAGAAATTCGATAAAACCACCAAAACATAGCAAAAATAACGGAGGTTCGATACGCCACACGATTATTATATAGAATATGTTATTTACATGTATTATAACCGTGTCTGAGAGCTAATTGACACCGTTAGAAATCCAGTGAGAGCGAACGCTCTTTCTTAAACAGGACAGAGGTCCAATACTTCGACTAAATTTCAATTCGTGATCGATTTTAAGTTTTCAATATTATGCTCATCTTCACTATGATATGAACAATTGCAGATGCATAATAATACACATAA